TATTTTATGCCACTCCTGTTCCTGCTATTTCTCTCATGTTTGGAGGTGAACTCATGCTGAAAACCACCAACACCATTACATTAGCCCATCAAATAAAATGTCATATAGACAGGGACCTTAGAAATTGATCCCAGAATGGAACCTTTGCCCAGATTTATTGAGTCACAATGCTAATTTATTTCCTCTTTACCAGGGGAAATCCTGTCTCTATAGTTACCTTTTCTCTTCACTCCAGTTTTGTGTCCAGCTCAGTTACCTGATTCTTACTATTGTTTCTTCTCCTGTTCATGATGACCAAACCCACTTCATCTGTGGAAGAGTATTTCATGTGGGTTTGAAGATAGTGAGGCTAATTTAAAACACATGAGCACATGTACATGCATGCATGTGTGCATACGTGTGCATGCATGCACACACACGCGCGGTTGAAATTCAGTCCAGGAAGAAAACTGTGAACAGGAAAATACAATTGTTGCTAGGAATCATGACACTGTGCAGCAGGTAGCAAAGCAAAGCCTTACCATAAACACCCAGAAAAACAGATGTTGAGAGGGTGTGAGCTGGAGGTTGGGATTCACACAGTTCTGTATCTTGCATAATCTAATTCTAGCCAACACCGGGCAAAACTGGCCATAGAAAGTCACAACATGGGGAGAAGCAGAAAAAATATTCCATGATCTACCAGACAGACTGCAGGCTGGCTGGCTGAGAACTTCTCCCAGGAAGGGTTTCTCCCATTGTAGATTGTCTCCCTGGTAATATCCATGGAACAAATGCAGCAGCTTTTGTTGGCATGTGCTCTTGAAAAACACATGCTGCTTTGCTGTGAGAGCAACTGAGGAATCAGTGATCTCTTCAAATGAGGACTTGGGTGAGGTCTGAGCCCCAACATTTCTGACAACCTGAAACTCTCAGAGATGCCAATAGAAATTGAAGGTGCGCAGCATATTATTAGAGATGCACAAAACCCCACATCACCAGGTTGAAAGACCTTTATCGCTTGACATCAGAGCCTCTTGCACAGAGCAGAAAATGAGCAAAGTAAAGGAAACACAAATGCCTTTGTGCCTACAAAGGAAGAGCTGGAAAATGGTGCCAGTGGTTTGCAGGGTTAAGAGTGGAAAAGTCTTGGTGAAGTGTTCCAGGCCCTTGGACTCTTGCATGATGTTTCCACTTCAAGGTGCCCTGTGGAGTGAAGCCATGTTCTGGAGCCTTACAAACTCCAAGAGGCTGCCCAAACCTGCCTATGTTGTCAGATCTTCTATGAAAGCCACATTACTGTAACACAGCCTGGATGATCCCAGCATGTACTGGCTCAAGCACAGTCCTTCTGCTCTCCATCTCTTTTGTGCCCTGAGAGAAATCCAGGCACTTTAGAGTTTCTGATAATCTGTCCTCTCAAGTAAAGCATTAATTCAGAGAATTGGAATGCTTAAAAACAAACAGAAAATGTAACAAAGTTAGCTAAAATAGCTTAAAGTTGAGGTAAGTATCCAAACATCTAGTACACAGTAGCAAACAACAGAGAGCAGCAAACCAGATTTTTCCCAGGCACTGATCATACATGATTCCTAAAGACACCAGGACCGGTTTGATGCTTCTGTGTTCCTTGTAAATTGAAGATCAGTACTGATTTAAAGGTCCTAGCGTAGCCAGACCTTAATCCCACCCACTAACCCTCCAGCTCCTGAGCTGTCACATGCCAAGGAGTATTAGCTGAAAGCACTCAGGTCCTCTGTGACAGTGTTTGGGAGACCAAAGCAAGGCCCCGTGGCCTATAGATCAGCTCTTCCTCCCTTCACCCTTGTCTGCTCAGCTTGCTGTCACACCTTCTCCGAGGTCAGCTCTTCCCCAGCAGCTTTGCCCAAATCACTTTGCTAGAGATTTAAAATCACTTGAAATTTTTAAGACATCCATGACAAACAGTCAGAGAAAAAGGAACTGGGAAGGGCAAACTATTGGCATACCTGCTGACAGAAACTATATTTTCTTCAGAAAGAGAAATGTATGGCTTCCAGTTTGGTCACTTTCAGAAACTGCTGCTGGGAATATACCAGAAATACATACCTACACCTTCTTTGCTCTCAGATGACAACTAGTGCTAGAGATGCTGAGCTCTGATGTGTATATTCTCTGTTTTTCCTATAAGGAAAAATCATGTTGAAAATCCAAAGCATGTATAGGTGGCATGTATGCATAAAGCTCAGCGCTTAAAGAAAGACATCACATTTTATTAGCAACAAACAAATAGGCACATTCCTTAGGTCAAGAATGTAGTATCGATATGTGTGGTCTTTATAATAAAGTTAATACAGGACATGGTTAAGGACCTACAATGCGCACGCCCGGAATGTGCATATCTATCTACAATCTACATGAAACATAGTCACCAAAACACTGCGTTCTGAAATAAAGAAATAATTACCTGGAAAACCGAAACACATTAGAAATAGTTTTAAATGTTAATCTAAACAATGTTTAAAATTAATTTTGTCTTTAAGTGTTCTGACATTTCCAATACAATAGTTTCATACGGAGCCTCAGCGCTTAAAAAAATAAAAATAAAATTTTTGCCAGATCTTCCCAGCTCTGAGTTCTACCAAAGGCCATCATGAGTTCAGTCTTTGTGATGTTCTCCCTGGAGATTTTTGTCTGCCCTAGCTCTCTGAATATCTTTTTCTGTCTCTTTGGTCAGTTTTTCTTCCCAGCTCCTCTCATTACATGCAATAGTACATCTTCTGTTTCAGTTTGGGGCTATAGTGTAATGTTCCCCAAGTCACATCTTGGAACCAAAGTTTCTCAGCTTTCTCGTGCTCTTTTTTTTTCCCCCACCTTGTTTTGAAAATATCTCCCCCTGTCTGGAGTTGCAGACATGTTTATCAATAGGTTCTTTCTTGAAATATTTCTGGTTTCCACCTATTTCACATCTCCTCAGTCTACATGATAGCAGCAATACCTGCATTTCTGAATGCTGCCCTTCTCAGTCCCATTTTGTATGTTTCCAGTTCTTACCTCTGCCACTCTTACGCCTCTGTGAAGTACCAAGTACCAGTTGCTGGAGGTGTGGTGCTCCTGTGGGTAACACTGTGTGTCTTTGTAAAACAAAACATGTCAGTAAGAGCACCTATGCTGACCCCGAAAGTATAGAAAACATATTCTTGCACTTGAGAAATGAGTCACTGGACTTTCCTACTCTCGTCCACCCTGAAACATGAGTGTCTCCATCAAGATCCCTGTAAGGTGCAACTTGCAAACCATTGCTGGGTTCCATCTCATCCAACTTCAGGTATCTGCAGCACAGACAACTCTATCCAAATCAGCCATCAACACTTTTTCCCTAGCTGCCAGAGGGCAAAGCCAATTCATCTCAGCCTTGGCATGCAGACACACACACACACATGAAGCTCTAGGAATCCAGATCTGTGTAAGTCTCTCCCTCCACCCGTGGCAGAAGGGAGGGTATCTATCTGCAGTGCAGACATCACCTGTTTGAGCCAGTTGCCTAAAGGTGGGCAGGTGCTCCTGATGTGCTGTCACCCACACTAGACAATAATCATGGAATCATAGACTGGTTTGGGTCAGAAGGGACCTTAAAGACCATGTAGTTCCCACCCCCCTGCCACGGGCAGGGACACCTTCCACTAGCCCAGGTTGCTCACAGCCCCGTCCAACCTGGCCTGGAACACTGCCAGGGAGGGGGCAGCCACAGCTGCTCTGGGCAACCTCTGCCAGTGTCCCACCGCCCTCACAGGGAAGTTTCTTCCTCATATCTAATCTAAATCTGCCCTCTTTCAGTTTAAAACCGTTAGCCCTGGTCCTATCTCTACATTCCCTGACGCAGAGTCCCTCCCCACCGTTCCTGTAGCCCCTTTCAGCACTGGAAGGCCGCTATAGGGTCTCCCCAGAGCCTTCTCTTCTCCGGGCTGAACACCCCAACTCTCTCAGCCCATCCTCACAGGGGAGGTGCTCCAGCCCCCGATCACCCCCGTGGTCTCCTCTGGCCCCACATCACCGGCTGAAGGCATTTCCCCGTACCGAGGGAGAGAGCACGGAGCTGCCCCTGTAGCAGCAGCCGCTTGTCCCGGCGCGGCTGTGCGGACAAGGCTTGCCTGCTGGGGCAGCCGCCGGCGACCCCCACACCGAGGGGCACCGGGAGGGACCCCCAGCCGGTGGCGGGGGCTCTGCCGCTCCGCGCCGCTCCGCCAGAGG